GAAAGTTTGTACCCCAATCCCCACCCCCGATGTAATCGAAAAATAACCTATGAACCCTAGTAGCCGTCGATGCAGAATCGATTGATGGCAATCCTCCACCCTCGATGTGTTCAATCCCCTCCCTAACTCTTCAATCGCGTGCTCTAATCTAATGCAGCCCGAGTCGAAAGCAATGAATGTACAGAGAGGACGAGGTCTTACTTCAATGTCCGATGCGCTCCGGTGTAGGTCTGCAGTCGATCCGGTGGTTGCCGTCGCCGTCATCGATTCGCACTAAAGCTCAGGTGGTCGCCGCCGCCGCTGCCGCCGGTGTGAGTGGGGAAGAAGGAAGAGAGCGGTGAGGAAGGAAGGTGAGGGTAATTTATGATGATGCGTCTGGAAACAACGCGACGTCTGAGGACCGTACGCGCAACGACGTGCGCTACCGCTTGGTCATCGATATTGAAGGGAGTGGATCCACCGTGATGTAGGTGGGACAGCCAACTACGGCGGTCGCCAAGCATCTAAACTTTTGCAAGCTGCTGCCGGTTGTTTGTATCACGGTAACCGCAGAGGCAGCAGCACTCTTTGAGGGTTTAATATTGTGCCTGACCACTGGTTGTTCTAATATCATGGTAAGGATGGACAATTTGATCATGGTAGAAGCTCTGAAACTTAATGAAGGACACGCTATGGTGGCAGCTCCTGTACTTGAAGATTGCAGAAATACTTTGAAAGATTTCGGAAAGGTGTCTATTGAGCATTGTAATAGGGAGTCGAATGTAGTTGCTCATGGGCCGCCTCCTCCTTCTCGTTCACAAAAAGCTAGGGTTTTTGCCTCCCGCCGCCGCCGCAGGTCCGCCTCCTCTCCGATGGCCTTAGGGCCATGGGGGCGCAGTGGATCTCGGCAAGGGTCGGCGGGAGGGCTCCGTTTTTAATCGTTTCTTTCAGTTTTGCTAGGATTTGTGTCCTGCTCAGGAAGACGAGAAGGCGGCGGCTTCCTGAAGATGGAATAAAGGTCTCCCCGCCTAGCCCCCGTTCCGGCGATGCGTCTAGCATCGTTGGTGGTCGTGTGGAGGTGTGTCTCCGGCGGGTCTATCTTTGGTGGATTTGCTCGGATCTCGTCTTTGTTCGTCTACGTTCGTGTGTCTTCGGATTAGATTTTTCTGATCTACATTATTCTTCATTTGCGGCGGTTGCTGTTCTGGTGCGCTGGTCCTACGGGGCCTTAGCACGATGACTTCCCGACTGTCTACTACAACAAGTTGTGCCCGACTCCGGCGATGGAGGGGCGATGACGGCGGCGCGCCTTCGGCTCGCTTCAGTGCTGGTAGTTGTCGCTAGGTGGTCTACGGATCTGGATGTAATTTCTATTATTTCTGGTATTCGTTGTACTGCCATGATTGAAGATGAATAGATCGGAAAGTTTCTCGCAAAAAAAAAAGAATGTACTTGCTCATGAGCTGGCTAGATAGGGTCGTGTTAATTCCCCTTCGGCTTGGTTGGATGACCCCCCTGATTTCTTAGTTAAATTCTTAGCGGATGATGTAAGCGTTATTTGAGTTTAATAAAGCTAGCCAGTAGGCCTTCGTGTTCAAAAAAAGAAAAGAATTGATCAACAATTGAGAATTGGAATAGCTACCACTCTGTCTACACCATATATATATATGACGTGAAATATCGATGACTCGTGCATCGTCCTCCTCCATTTGGGTATGAATTTTCGTTATTTGCATTTTAACTACTAGGTCGGCACCCCTCAGATTCAACTTCTGCGCCTGGACCTGTGGACTAGTCCGCATACATGTTTCCTTTTACACGGCCATGCGAAGATCATTTTGTAGCCCTCGGACTGGCCGTTGAGCGTGGCCTAAAAAAATTCTCCCGCGTGGATGGTGCAACCTCTTTATTATTAATAAGAAAGTATAAAAATGAATACGCACCATAATACTATACTCAACATTGCAGGCTTATGAACATGCTGTGCCCCTGTCATGATCGGTTGCCATGTCGATATACTCCAATACATAAATCTCTGACGGATTGCGTCACATGCTGGAATCATGAACCGTAGATGCCGGCCTGATAAGGATCCAAATTGTGGTATTGTATATACTACAACAGCACAGTAGCTGCAGGTCAAACAAGAGTGTGTCCAACAGGTGCGTAGAAAAACTAGGTCCAGTTGTCCGGATGCCCGGATCAGATCTATGCCAAATCGGATGGCCAGTGTGTTTTCCTGGTGCATGGTAGCCGTGCGTATGCATGTGCGCATTGATTAACGTTCAATATGCATGTTATTTGTCCCACAAACCTGCTAACCATCAACAAAACACATGACAATAGGTTCAATAAGAGAATGCTAGCAACCATATATTGGCAAGGATTAATATTAACCTGGCTATGATTCTTGGGAATCAGAAGTACTCCCACCGTAAGGAAATATAGAGCGTTTAGATCACCACTATCCCCCACCCCCAAAGAATCCCAGAGACTCAAGCCAGAATTGCAGTGTTTCTCAAAATCGCCTAAAATCCATGATTCTGACCACTCACTCAAATTCGCTTGGTCCATGTCCCAAGACGTCAAAACCTCGATCTGGACCCCCAGCCACTGACCCGCTTCCCCGTCGTCTAGTAACTCGACTGCCGAAGCCTTGGCACGGCTCCCGGTCAGCCATGCGCACGTTGTCGGGTAGTATTGCTCTCTACCTTCTTCAGCAGCGGCGAGCCCACGACGACAAAGGCCTACTCGCCAGCGGACGTAGCACAAAACTCATCCCACAATCTCAGACTGGAGTTCTTGGAAAGAACTGGACGACTGATTTTGTGGGAAGTTTTTAGAATTTGATTCAGAAGAATTTGCAGCTGAAAAGAACTGGGCCATAGAGCTGGTAGAACGACTTTGCCAATTTCTATAGCTACTAGTCTGGCCTAAATACTTATTATAAGTTTTGGATTTTTCATGAAATTTGCCGTGGAATCTTCTAAAATAAAATGGAAAGAAGTACTAAGATTTTTTGCTTGTCTAGCGATCCTCGGCAAATGCCTTACAGCAGACAACCTACGTAAGAGAGGATGGCCACACGACCCGATCGATTTGTTGTTTTTGCAGGGCAGCGGACGAGTATGTCGATCACCTCCTGGCACGCTGCTCCTTTACCCAAGCAACCACTGCAACCTTCCCACAACACTTGCACCGACAGGGGCAACCTCCAGCCTTGCTGAATGGTGGGAGTCCAACGTGGTGAGCATTAATCTGCCCAACTCAAGGGGCTGGGGTGGTCTTGCGGTGGCCATCTGGTGGTTCACTTGGCGCAAGAGGAACACTCGGATTTTCCAAAACAAGGTGTCCACTGTTAGCGGAGTGTTCAACTCGATGATGGATGAGTTTATGCTATGGAACCAGGCTGGGCGTCACAGGATTCAGCAGATTCTAGATAGACCACATGAGCCGGACTGACTTGGGCACTGATGTGTAGTTTTTGTGATGCCTGATGTTGCTTTGTTCCTATTGTCGGCATGGCACTTGTGCAGGACACAATACCTGTAACACCCTTCTTCCTATAATTGAAAAGAAAAGTTGCTCCGTCAGTGTTTCGTCAAAAAAAAAATATCCTAACAATCGTAATTATCAAGCTTATCGGTGAAAACATCAACTTGACCACTCGTTTAATCCCCTCAGAAAAAAAAAACCCACTAGTTTAATTATATTTTTACGCCACAAAGGTATATTACAGGTCAAGTGCAACCACCCCATAAACTGCTGGATAGCCTCCAAAACCAAGCTTTCACTGACCAAAGGGCGTCAAACTCTATAAGGAGCCGTGACGAGGAGATGCTATAGTCACAACTCACAAACAGCACCAACGACAGCAAGAATCATATTAAAGCTACAACAACCAACTTGGTACAATTATATTATATGTATACACGCAAAATACATGTCGTACAACCACCCCCATAAATTACTGAATACCAACCATGCAAAAGAAAAAAAAACTACTGAATGCCAATCCTAGAAAAGAAAACACTGAATACCATGCCACAAAACGACCTTATGTATCACTGACCAGTGGCGTGAAGCTCTATAAGTAGCCGTGGCCAGGAGATGCATGCTGCAGACAACTCACAACCAGCAGCACCAAAGAAGACACATCAAGAGAATCTTCTTCTCTCCGACCCAGGGTCACACGCACACAAGTGAGCAAGTGAGCTAGGTAGTGAGAGAGAAAGAGAGAGTAAAGTTTGTGATGGAGGTGACTCCCAACAAGCACACGCAGCAGGTGAGCGGGTGGGCGGCCATGGACGAGTCCGGCAAGATGGTGCCGTTCAACTTCAAGCGTCGGGAGAACGGCGTGGACGACGTGACGATCAAGGTGCTCTACTGCGGCATGTGCCACACGGACCTCCACTTCGCCAAAAACCACTGGGGCATCACGCAGTACCCGGTGGTCCCGGGCCACGAGATCACCGGTGTGGTCACCAAGGTGGGCGCCAACGTGTCCGGCTTCAAGCCCGGCGACCGCGTCGGCGTCGGGTGCCTCGCCTGCTCGTGCCTGGACTGCGAGCAGTGCGACAGCTCCCAGGAGAACTACTGCGACAAGATGGGGCTCACCTACAACAGCGTCTACTGGGACGGCAGCATCACCTACGGCGGCTACTCCAGCATGTACGTGGCGCACAAGAGGTTCGTGGTGCGGGTCCCCGACGGCCTGCCGCTGGACGCGGCGGCGCCGCTGCTGTGTGCGGGGATCACGGTGTACACCCCGATGAAGAAGCACGGGATGCTGCGTGCCGCCGGCAGGAGGCTCGGGGTGGTCGGGCTGGGCGGGCTGGGCCACATCGCCGTCAAGTTCGGCAAGGCCTTCGGGCTGCACGTCACGGTGATCAGCACGTCGCCGGCCAAGGAGCAGGAGGCCAGGGGGAACCTCAAGGCCGACGACTTCATCATCAGCACCGACGACAAGCAGATGCAGGTAGTACCTCCTAATCAAATCTAATGGCCTCTCATCAACTCCCAAGGCCATTGCTTGTGTGTCAGTCCTCGAAGTCCACTTGTCTGACTGATGCATACGGTCCAAAATGAACAAATTTAACGTTTTCAACATAGGCTATGGCGAGGAAGCTTGACTACGTGATCGACACAGTCCCGGCGGCGCACTCGCTGGGACCAATCCTGGAGCTGCTCAAGGTGGGCGGCGCACTCGCCCTCGTCGCCGCTCCGGACGGGCCCCTCGAACTCCCTTCATTCCCGCTTATTTTCGGTGAGCTAACTACTAATTAACATGCCATTCACCATCGATCTCGTGTTGTCTCCATCCTGTTCAACAACTAATTTGACATGGGTACGTGCATACAGGGAACAAGACCATCAGTGGGAGCATAACGGGGGGGATGAATGACCATCAGGAGATGATGGACCTGTGCGGGGAGCACAACATCACCTGCGACATCGAGCTCGTCTCCAACGACGGGATCAACGACGCGTTCGCCAGGCTCGCGCGCAACGACGTCCGCTACCGTTTCGTCATCGACATTGCGGGGGCTGACTCAAGGATCTAGCTAGTTTTTTGTTGCTCTGTGTCAGAATGAAATGAAATGAAATTATGGGTACCTGTTTGAGTTCAGCACGGAGACTGATGCATGGATCTTGAATTAGTAGCTAGTGAGATGTGAGAAACTGTATGTCGTCCTCCTATTGGCCATGATGTTCCTTGTATGGAATTTAATTTTGCGTCATTGAGTTTTCCTTTTCTTTTCAACAATGTAATTTTTCTAATATTTGGTTAACTGGATTGTATCTTGTATGTCAAGTCTAAAGACAGCTGCCTAGTAGCAACAAAACGGAAATATGAATTTAAGCTAAAATTCACATTAATTTGCAACCCTGCTTTCCTAAACGTTTTGTGAAGCATAGGCACAAACATCATGACAAACACTTACTTTAGTTTAAATTTGAAACTGAGGGAGTGGTTACAATATAATGTTGTCACATCCAACTATGTTTTTTTTAAGAATTCAGAACATGTTGTTTACAGGAATAGTGCTACAATGCCCAGAGCCGGCTTCGAACGTTGTTTTCCTTCTGGTGTATTTCTTTTGGATTCTTGTGTAAGAAGGCCCCTACCCCTAGTCTAAGATGTGCAATTACTAAACCGTAAAACGCAGCTAGCTACGGCCTTGCACAGTGATTATGTGTTTTAAGCCGTTCGTTTCACTAATGGGCGGACTAGATCACCCGGGTCATTCCGCACCACTAGCTTGGCTTCCCGCTGCATAACTTCAGGCCAGCTAACAGGCCCACGTGACTGGGCTGCTGCTCCACAGAACAATCTGGGCATCTTCTTATGAACTGGGCCAACACCCACTATGGGCCGCCACGAGGGACAAGTTTTCGTTTAGTAGGCCTAGCATGTTCCTCGTTGTCGCAAGCTTTTCACACATATCCAATTTGCCTAACCATGCAAAAGATTGATGAGAAACTTCATGATGATAAAATTGACATAGTATCCTATTGTGAAGCATGAAGTCATAGGCACATTGCATCGAAGCAGAGTAAAAAACTCACAGGACTTGACAAAGTAACCTATCTTGGGTTTATCCCAGTATTCTAATTTAATTTTTGAAGTGAACTTACAAAGTATGCCTTTTAATTATACATCATTTCTCGCAGAAAGCAACATGTATTTCAGCTTTGTAGTCATGAAGAAGTTGGCCGTCGATCCAAATATGAACTTATTAGGATGCTTACTTGGAGACTGCAAATAATTAGTATTTTGCATGTTTGTTTCAAAAAATATTTTGCATGCCATATAGTATATCATCTACCTCATTGGTTTCACAAAGTATTTTTTTTTCAATAAGGTAGCCTTGCAATATAATAGTTTGCATCTTTAGCTTGTGATCCCCTTCACCATCATACATATTCTATATACTAGATTCATGGAAGTTGGCATAATGACACGTGTTTCCTTCTCCTCACCCACGACTATACCTCTCTAGGAGAGCATCATGCGACCAGCGCACCCAATCTTCTCTTCCACACTACTTCACTGCAAACATGTTAAATTTCTCTCCTTCGATAACTTAATGATATATTGGCCAATTTATGAAAAATGATCTCTCATGTTTTGTATATTCACTTATTATGGGAAGTTCTTATCAATCTATCAAAAATTGACGGGCGCGGCAACGCGCGCATTCATGATCTAGTTTGTATGAAAAGTGCATGGGTAGACCACCACCAATATTTCTAACAACTCTCCTTGGCACCACGAGCAAGGCGGCAGCATGGAGGGGTAACAAAGGACTTGTCGAGCTTGTCCTCACTGGTTCCACAGCCTCACCAACCACAGCTACGGCTACAAGGCAATCAATTTATCTTAAAGTCCAAACGGATGGAGAGATGTGGATAGATTGCAGAATCTTTTTTTTTTGTTAATGCCTCGTTGACAGGATCTTGGACTTGAGGTCTCTTCCGAATTGGTGAAGGGATGCGGGTGATATTGAACATATAAACCCTGAAGAAGTGCTAGGCAGAAAGAAGCCGTCCACGTCGCCCCGAAATCGCTATGAACAGTCATGTGCCACCGCCTGTAAATTTTGTGCCCCGCCGAGGGCATTTTGGTCTTCTTACGTGCAGGGTATAAATCACAGCCGCGAGTGAGAGGAAAAAGGCATCGCGCGAGCGCGGGCGCCACATCGGGCGAGCGAGAGGAAAAAGGCATCGAACCCTAGCCCCAATCCACAGCCCTCATCCCGCCGCCACTCCCTCCCACCTCCTCCTCCGCCTTCTGCCCCCTAGGAGCCCCGCCGCCGACTGCTACTCCTCCACCACCTCGCCTCTTTCTCCTCCTCGCCTTCCCATCGCTCGCGCG